TTACAGGACATTAACGATAAAACAGAATATTGTTGTTCTATTTTTAGACACATCTCGCGATCGACTGGGAATCTCCCCGCGACCCTTCTTTTTAACTAGTTGCTGCTCTTGTTCTGACATCTTCGCGTGTGCTGAACACTCACAACACATGTCACTCCCACGTGGCCGAGTGGGCTTTTAGGGAGGGGCGAAAGCGCACCCAGCAAAATAATCGTATTTTGTCAATTATGCCGTTTTCCTAATCGTCGCAAACCATAATCGTAATCTCGATTAAAATACGATTAATTGCACAGCCCTACTAAATACACACACTAATCAGCAATTAGACACAGGTGGGGGGGGAGGAGACAACACAGGGCACCAGGTGCACACAATCAACAGCCACAGACATGGGGAAAGGGAACACTTTTGACATAAAACCAGCAAACAGAGACAGACAAACTAAAAAACACATACAGATGCACACACTACCTACATTTCGCCACCAACAAAGCTACACAATCCGTAACGGAGGCCGAGATCTATGGCCCCAGAGATCACCTCCGTTACATTTCCTTACCCCTCTCCCCCGGAAGCACAGTGTCTTGAAAACCTTGGCTTCCCTGCAAGGTTTCTGCTTCCCCTTGTGCATCATGGTTTCCTCAGGGGGGGGGGCGTGAAGTCAGAAGGAAGCTTCCCTTTCTTCCTTTTGGCGATCCGATTCTTCCTCTCCAGCTGAGCGGGGTCTGCCCGGAACTGCTGCCGCTGCATCAGAGTGGCTATGCCCCTTCATGCTGATGAGCTCCCTCTGGTGCTCCTCCTTCTCCTCCGTGCTGCGATGCAGGTGACACGCTGTAGGCTGCTGTTGACCTTCTCCAGCTTCCTAGCTGCCGCTCGCTCCAGCTTCGATTTTTCTTTCTCCTTTCTGGCCTTCTGGGCCGTGAGCTCTGCCTGTCGCTGTCTCTGTCTCTCCAGCTCCTCCAGCAGCTGACGCTCCATGATGGGCTTCGCCTCCTCCACTAAGCGCATCTCCTCTGTCTGCTCTCGCATACATTTCCGGTTCTCCGCCAGGATCTTTGATGCCCCAACAGCAGTTAGTGCCCGTCGAGCCTTTAGCCAATCGGCCGTCTTGCCTCCGCTCCTCTTCCATCATGGATTCCCGTTCTTGTACCCGTGCGAACTGCTACTCACCGGCTGCCTGAAGCTGCAGGAGTGACCTCATCATCTCCCTCAGTTCCTCCATCACTCTCACCTCCTCACTTGGTCAATCCCACTTCTGACACCAATTGTGATGCCACTTATCCAGAAGCTGTTTTGTACTGTTGTAATGCGTTGGTCTGCCTCTAGCACGACCCAGGTTCTGTCGACTCCTCGTGGGTCCGCCTCCTCGGCCTGCAAACGCTGCTCCTCCTGCTTGTCTCTCGTCTCCTGCTGCCTCAACAGCCTTGGCCCCCTGGTCCGTTCCAGGCATAGTCACCCCCAGCCGCGGTTCCTCTCTTTGGTCCCTCTTCTTTCCTCTCGTAATTTTCACCTCCTTACTTGGTCAAATCCCACTTCTGACACCATTTGTGAGACTGACCGTATGAGCGGCCCAGACCAAGCAAGGAGGCAGAACGTCCAAAAATATAACCCGACGTGGGCATTTATTAAAATCATGTGCACAAAGTTCACAGCCTCAATCCTGCTGTTCTCCTTGCACACATCCTGCAGCCACAAGGATCTCACACACCCTACCAGCCTCCTCAACAGACAGGGAAACAGAGCCTAAATACACACACTCTAATCAGCACAACAAGACACAGGTGAGGGGGGAGGAGACAACACAGGACACCAGGTGCACACAATCATCAGCCACAGACATCAACATATTATTTGCACCCTGATTACTCTCAACCGCTGTCATCCTTACACCAGCATAACTACTCTCGGCGCTCTCCCCTATCTTTTCAGGCGGAGCCGAGGACCCGACCAGCACCTGCCAGACAACATTACAATAAATACGGTTTAATCAGTTAAAAGATACTACCTCAATAATTAGTATGAATTATGTGCAAATATGTAATGTCAACTGTACTGTGCAATCACGCTAATAAAGTGCAATATTACCCGGCCTGAAGCCGTCAGTCCATAGTGACGAAGTTACCTTCGTCACAGTGAAAATACTCAAGTCAATTACAAGTAGCTCAATTGTTTACTTAAGTACAGTTCTTGAGTACATACTTAGTTACATTATTACACCACTGGTGCCACTGACTAGCTAATGGTCAACTCTCCGCAATGCGTTAATATTTCGGTTAACTTACCTAACAACGTCAAGCAACCACTGGTTCACCCTCAGGCTAACACTGTTAGCACTGTTAGCTCAGCTGCTCTTGTTCGTGCTTTTAGCATTGTTAGCTGCTAGCCGGCCATGTTGAGAGCGGTGTGGAGACAATCTCACTGCTCTGAATTTCGTATTGAAAAATATGGCATAGCAAACACAAAGGAATATTGTCCTTACCCAGAGATGTAGTACTCGAGTCCTGGACTCGGGTGCCGATTTTCGGGACTCGTGACTCGACTCGGACTCGCGCACTGATTGACGCGACTCGGACTTGGACTCGTGAATTCTCGCGTACGCTGACTTGGCCTCGGACTCGGACCTCCACCATTAAACTGTCATATTCTGCACATTTCTTATTCTATCTACATAAGAGTATAATTCATATGTATAATATCAGTTAAAATAAGTGCTTCAACATAGTTAACATTGCAGGAAAGCAATATATTAGACGTTAAGTACTTTGTCAGGCTTAATATTTATCTGTAGATAGATACCCCCAACGTTTTTTTTCTTATTTAAAAGAAGACCTTAATCTGTTATTTAATGTTTAAATAAAGGTTAATTCGTTTTTTCTGTTTTGCACCTCCTCCTATTAATATCTTTGTACATTCTGCACTAAACTGTTTTATTGTAGAGATCACTTATAGTATCTTCTTGATTTTTTATATTCTATATTTATACTTTCCCCCTATGAAAGTATGTACTCTTAATATTTTTTTAATCAAATAAAACACAATAATTCAATAACGTGCTTTAACCACTAGGCGGTGCACACAAGGTACACACAGCCATAATAACTTTGTATTATTAGTGTAGGACACTTTTGTTTTCGTACAACATCTGAAAATGTGTAGTTTTATGCATGCTTTCACATCATTTTACAGCATATTGCTATACTATTTCAGACTCAGTATTTACATTCTTACATTCAAAGAAAATCAGTAATATCTTTAAAAACTATAGTCCTTTTATATCAGCTGTGCACCGTTATGGTGTAAATATAACCTATCTGTGAATTAGATCAAATGTAAAAGTCAGCCGAATTAGTGTTGATACTGCAAGGAGACGTATTGTGTGAAGATAAATTGAAGATGTTGTTTAATTGTTGAATATATTTATGATCCACGTCAAGTATTCAGTTTCGGCGGCATTTTCTCGGTTTTTCCAAAGGTCTTCTCATCAGGGCTCTATAAATAAAGAACTACGGCAGATCTGTAATATACAATGCAGCCGAACCGTGTATTACAATGCCGTTATGTGATGACTTTCAAAGAGAAAAGCAAGAGCGCTCGGAATTAAGTATTATTTTATTCTTTTAAAATGTTTTCCAGATTTCATATCATATAAACACCAAATCCCAGCATGCATTGCGGCTAAAACATCCAATAAGCGAGCTTAAAACCATAGCTGAGGATCTTGGGTAATCGCTCGAAATGCCTACGTCTGTTTCCGGTTATTTTTATTTTGAAATTCAGTTCCTGACGGACGCCCAAAAAGCCCGAGATTATGGAATTAAACCAATAAATAAAAGCAAGGATAATTGTGTGTTATTGGTGTTATTGGTCTCTGCAGAGACCAGAAATACGAGGCTGAAAGAGATATAATGTTACTGCTGGATGAGCAGCTATGCAACTTTTTGCTAACATGTTTGCCCTAACATAACTGTTAATGTATACCCAAATTGGCTAAACAAATAAAACAATGCCGTCCATAAAAGGTCAGCTACACATCTTTACAAAACTTTGCCCTTGTTGCTCTGAAAAATCTACAGAAACAGACCTTAAAGTGGACCTATTATGCTATATTGGAAAAATATATTGTAGGGCCATACCTATACAAAACATGTCTGTGAAGTGTTTTGCTTAAAATACCAAACAGTTCACCCATTGTTGCCATGCCTCATACTGTTCATACCCCTCTTTTGCAGCCCTGTTAGAGAAACGCGGATTTTGGGTCCTTAGCTTTAAAAAAAAAAAAAGAGGAGGCGGAGCTAATGCCTGATCAGAATTCTACCGGAGATAAAGTTAAATTCTGCTGTGATAAAACGCCATCCTGTTTAAACCACGTCAATAATTATTTCTGAAACAGTATGGAGCTCAAATGCTTTTTCTCTTGCGGGTTTATCACAAGGTGAGTTCCTTTTTTTATTTCCTGCTTTTTAAACACATGTGCTCTCTATACTAGGACAGGTTAGCTCTGAGTGTTAGCGAGGCTTGCTAATGTAAACAAAAACGAGATTACGTCCAAAACACGTCAGGCATTGTTTCTGATAGCAACTTTCTGTGGGTCCGCTGCCGATTTGACATCATATCGGCAGAACATCTATATCCGCTTGTTGTACACCCGTTTTTAAAAGATTTGGGTACGGAGGAAAAGAGAGAGGGTTTTATTTTCTGACGCTGCGTGAGTTCCCCGACGCACCGGGGACACATATTTATGTATAAAAGACATCACAAAGTGCATTTTGCATGATAGGTTCCCTTTAAATGTTGAAGGCAAAGTGTATCTGCAGAAAACACACTTCTTCTCTTTTTTTTTAAAAGAAACTTCATTCACTGCTCCCTGGGTGTAGGTAGACATCTCAAATCATATTTTGGTAATTTGGGTGAATTGGTTTCAATTCAATTGCTTTAGTTTGTCTTATATGTCTTAATATTATATTCTTCCCATTAACAACTTTTCTTCTTCTGGTAGACCGAGATTTACTGGAGGACATCATTGCTGACAGCTGCTTCCACACTTCTCAGCATATTGTGAGTCCCAGCAGATTTGGAATTAAGTGATTAAATCACATCAGCACTTACTTACTGACTGTTCTTCTGTCTTTTAAAGAGCAGCCATGTTATCTATTTCCATATGATTGTGCATCAGTAGGCTATGGTGAAATGAGTAAGGGCAACTGGGATGCAGTTAAAGGCCATTTGTATTCAGATCTGTACACAGTCTGGATGGTTATAGGTGGCAAATGATGCACGCAGGAGAGAGGCAGACGCACTCTCCAACTAGGAGACTATAAATGACGCTATAAAACACTGTGCAATGACACATACATGGGCAATGAGACACACCGTTTGTGTGTGTGTGTGTGTGTGTGTGTGTGTGTGTGTGTGTGTGTGTGTGTGTGTGTGTGTGTGTGTGTGTGTGTGTGTGTGTGTGTGTGTGTGTGTGTGTGTGTGTGTGTGTGTGTGTGTGTGTGTGTGTGTGTGTGTGTGTGTGTGTGTGTGTGTGTGTGTGTGTGTGTGTGTGAAGGACTACTTTATTGAGGGATGGGTAAAACATGCAGAACAGGCTGACAGATCATTAGCTTGACTATAAAGCTGCCACACAGCTCTTTGTAATTCCTCACACCTCTGTACTGCAATATACTTATACCTCCCAGTCCCACACACACATACAAACACAAACAAGAGTTGAGCACAAGGTGTGTTAGTGGCATAGCCTGTATAAAGATTGAGATCTTTATATACAGTCTATGGTTAGTGGCCATAAAAGAAAAAAAGGGAGGTGTGAGAAAATATCTACTTGTCATTTTCCTTAGGGCTGTTATAATCAATATTTTTATATTAACAATAAACCACATGACCACATGTAGTGGGAAAGGGTAGGTTCGCTGGAAAAAACTGTAGGGAGCTGTTTTTATTTTATTTTAGCAAAGCTGCTAAAACCCACTGTACTGCTCTGCGCCAAACAGCAGATAGACACAGTTGGCTAAATGCTCATGAAGATAGTTAAGCATTTACATGCCAAAGAGCAAGATATTGAAGTCAAGCGTCGGAGGAGACCAAAAGAGCAAAAATAGAGAAAAAAATGTGCTTTATATTTGCAAAGTGATCATAAACTTTACTAAAAAGACATGTTGCTCAATATCTGCCGGATTGGTATTCAAGCAATTGTTGTTATTGAGTATTTCTATGTTTTGCAGTCCAGCGACTTGTTGCCACTGGCGATGGTGATGCTGTTTGACTTCCAGGACCGAAGGTTTCTGTCACGTGAACGTCTAACAAAGGAAGAGAAGGGGCCTTATCAGGAAGTCAGGGACCTGGAGACCAGTCTACACAGGTGTGTGTGTGTGTGTGTGTGTGTGTGTGTGTGTGTGTGTGTGTGTGTGTGTGTGTGTGTGTGTGTGTGTGTGTGTGTGTGTGTGTGTGTGTGTGTGTGTGTGTGTGTGTGTGTGTGTGTGTGTGTGTGTGTGTGTGTGTGTGTGTGTGTGTGTGTGTGTGTGTGTGTGTGTGTGTGTGTGTGTGTGTGTGTGTGTGTGTGTGTGTGTGTGTGTGTGTGTGTGTGTGTGTGTGTGTGTATAGATGTTAGTGTTGGCTGGCTTTTACTTTCACCTAATTTTACTATTATTTTCAATGTGATCATTCTACGTCTATTTCCTCATGTCGCAAAGTGTTGTTGTAAATAATGTTAACATCATCTAAAGTTTATTTCTACTCCAATTTTTTAATTGTAATGAAATCTAAAAATCACACGGACTAAAGGTAGGAGAAATTCACTGTGAACTGAGGTTTTTTCATATGCTTGTGTTTATCACAGGTGTAGAACCAAGCTGGCAGCATCTCTAGCTCGCTGCAGAGTGAAACAGAGTCTGCAGAGCGTCTCCTGTTTTCTGTCAGATCCTGTCAGGACCAAACAGCACAGAGCAAAACGTCTGCCACTTTATGCATGGGTCAATACTCTCAAGGCCAGGTGCACTCGCACACACATGCACACACATGCACACACAAGCAAATACACACACAGACACACACACACTGAGAAGGAGGGCCATAGAAAGAGAGCCATGCAGTTATTTATTTATGTCACACTTGCTCCTTTTTCCTTTATTCTTCTGTTCATTGTGCCATTAGGGCTTGTATTTATGTAAACAGTTTCAAGTATTAATTGGAAAAATCCAATGTCACAAGTGGGACACACTTTTTTAATTGCCCTTTAGTGGGGTTTTTTTGGTTTAAATGTCAGTGTCAATGTCAGTATGAAGACAAATTATATAATAACTTATATCAGACTGTTTATAAAATAACACTGAGTTTAAAGTGACAGGCTCTGTAGGGGGAAATTGCAGGTGCAGTATGGGGTTAATGGTGAGTGCAGTTATCACATATCTGAGACCGGAAAGTTTAACATGTTCATACCTTGGGGGTGAAAAGGTGCATCTTGGGTAGTTATGTGAAGCTAAAATGCAGCAACTCTACTCACCAGACACACCTTGAGTGTATTCGAGTCATATTTCCTCTAAACTAAACAATTAATTTAACAGAAATCCTGATATTTTCTCTGTAGTGTTGACGAAGTGTGTGCAGCGTTACAAAGAGCCGGCTTGTGTGATGTGGAGATCATGACAGCCCTCAGTGAGGGGTCGTTCTGCAGAGACCCTCTCTGTCCCGATACACTCGTCTTCTCCCCTCAGCTTCACGCTCTGCTGCAGCACAGCAGCCTCACAAGTACACATGCACTTAACACACAGGTATGTATGGATATGTGTAGTGAGGCGTGTAATTGAGCTAAATATAGGTTACACTCACTAATGGGAAACATGCTTTAATCCTTCAGGGGCTTGTAAAGATAATTTAAGGAGATAGATACATGACTGGTGGAAAGAATACCCGTCAAAAAAGTAGTACAATATTTATAAATCCACCTAAGAGAAAATAAGAAGCAACCAGATATTTAGTTTCTTTTATAAATGTGACTACATTGTTTTCATTGGAGGAAAAAAAAAGAAAAAAAAATCTGCACCAACAAATTAAATTCAGATACTATTCTTTGCTGGCCCAAACTCAAAAATAACTGCAATCCTCTGGTTTGTCTTTTAATGGAGTACCAAGAACATTGTTCTGTGTATGCCCATTTTATTAAAAGCAAAATGACTGATAAAAAAAAAAAAAATAAAGTCCCCAAAATACTCACCGGAAGTTGCCAATTGAATGAACAGAAGGAGATGTTGGTTAACTTGTTGAATCGTTGACTTATAGTTCTTCTTATAAATGTAGGTAATGATCTTTACTTTTAATGCTGTGGGACTCATTTAAAGTGTTGCCCTTCACACAAAAGTGGCTTAGGGCTTTGAAGTATGCTCCTGCTGTGATGTGAAGTTTATTATCTTTGGAGCTGAGTTAAAGAGGTCAGTTTGTTATTAATCTTGATCAGCATCACAGCAGTCGATAACACTGGAGGGCACACTTTCGTCAAGCAGGAAATCCCCCATGCATTGTGAATAAAGTGTGCATCTGTGTATCTATTTTTCAGGACAGGAGTGTGTGTGTGGCAGTGAGTGCGTTACGCCCCCTGCTGTTTGATAACGGTGACGTCTTGGCGGTGGGGTCTTTCTCAGCTGTGACCGTGGCTCACGTTGCCGTGGCGGCCGCTGACCGCTCTGGCCGAGTGTTGGTGTGTGGTGCCGATCACACTACGTCACAAATAGACGAGATACAAGAACTACTCACACAAATGGATATCAAAAGTGAGATCATGCATTGCAGCATCCTATAAACCCTTCTGTTTCAGCCCTGTTTCAAAAGTGCTGATTCTGTGTCTTTTACTTTAGATGAAAATAAGAAGCCCCTCCCCACACCCCTCTGAGAGATATTTGGTTAAAAAAACACAATGGTGCTCTCGGAGGAGATTCAGGTGATAAGGTGGGCGGGGGTTACCTTGGTTGGTTATTGGCTAATGGTTATACAACCCAAATAAACTATGACATCATAAAGTGGCCAAAATCTGATCAGCTCATTTTCAGACAGGTTTTTATAGAAATTGATCAGGACAAAAAGAGAGAGAATATTTTTCCCTGAAACTTTCATAATCTCTTTAAACACGGGGAAATACATATTATATATAAAAGACATGAAAAAGTAGATCTTGCATAATAGGTGACCTTTAAATGAAAAGTACACTTGGATAGCGCAGACCTCGGCCAAGGTCATTCACATCATTACAAATATTTGTGTATATCTGCTCGGTCATTTCTATCCGCCCCAAAGTTTAGTGGGTTCTTCTTTGGCCCGTGCTTCATTCTTCTACTAAGTTTCATGAAAATCAGGCCAGTAGTTTTTTTGTAATCCTGCATACAAATCAAAAAACATAACCGAAAAGATATGTTGGTGGAAGATACATAAAGTCTGTTGATTGACAAGCTTTTACACACATGAGCATTTGAGGAGCCTTTTGGGAATATTTAATTCCAACTGTATATTAGCATTACTTTCATGGTGCTACTTCATGTCCTTTGCAGATGTGCGAGTCCTGTCAGAAGCCTTCAGTGGTTTGGATGAGTGGGACGCCTCTGTCCAGCGACTAAAGGTCATCATCGTGCTGCCTCAGTGTTCCTCCTCCGCGCTCAATGACCCTGTGCCCACCATGCACAGTGAACATGGAAGTACGTATGAAATACATATAAATATTGATCGAGATAGTGTTTTTGCATTAAATGTGATAGAAATGCTAAAGAAGTTCCGTTCTGTTGACAGACTGGGATCTACTGCCGGAATTGTGTCACAGTTCTGTGTCTCGAAGCAAAATACACACAATGGCCTCCCAACAGGCACGACTTCTAGCTCACGCCGTGTCCTGTGAGTATATACTGAAAGCACAAACACACACAATACTATAACTTGGAATGCATATTTTCAGGCAATGAAACACAATACATTACAATAAACAGATACGAAGAATTAAAGCTGGGAACAGTTATGCAATGTGGGACAATACACAAACACACACACTATACATGTGGGCTATACTGTTCCTCTGTATATACAATGCAACACTATAATAAAAGAGTAGTGGATTATTATTTGTATTTCTTTTTTTCTGTCAGTTCCAAAGGTTCAGACAGTGGTCTACTGCACACGCTCAGTGTATCCTGAGGAAAATGAACAGCTAGTGAAAAGAGTGTTAGACAAAACACACACCCATCCCAAACTGCTGCCCTTCAGGTAAAAACACACACACCTGCTTGTGCATGTATACGTTCTCTATATATAAAGTATTTCATTATGCACTTAGATTATTTGTGTCCTCAGGCTCAAACCGTTAATGCAATGGGAAAACTCTAAGCAGTTGGTTTTAATCAACTGCTTAGATTGTAAAACATTTACGCATCACTGTGTACACTGTATACCAAGGCGGTTTTGCCATCACTTACTGTACGGAGGCTCAGTCACTGGTACTTTTTCATTTACAAAGCCATGTTGGATAAACTACCATCTTATATCTGCTCCCTGATCTCTCTGCGAATTGAAAGTACTTATTGCCTGAGATCGCATGCTGTGGTTTTATTAAATGTGCCAAGTGCTAGGACTGTCTTAGGGAAGAAAGCTTTTAGATGTGCAGCTCCACTAACATGGAACAGTCTGCAAAAAGAATGGAAAATTACCAAGCTAGTACCACTACATGTTTTTAAAGCTCGGTTGGATGCTACACAATCAGATGCTGTTGGTACCTGTACATGTGGTTAAATATGTAAATTGTAATCCCTGTAATTTTTCTTCATGTGGAACCTACTGCTGCAGGTCTCCCTTGAAAAAGAGATCAATGATCTCAATGGGATTTCACCTGGATAAATAAAGGTTTTGAATTTAATTGAATCACTCGCCGAACATAATTCAGTACAAGGGTTTGTGGAAGTCGTCAATCTATGTGCATTTAAAGGTAAACTCAACACTGTTTTCTCTAACAGAAAGTGACAGGTGATAGGCAGCTCACAGTGAAGCCTTCTGCTTTAACAAAATATTCACTTTGAAGCTGATTGTGTCGCTCTGTATTTTTTTATGTTATTGAGATTCTGTCTGATTATTAAATTCAGAACCATCCATCATTGTGATAAATGTACTGGGGATTCAACAAAACGTCAATTTATGAAACCAACCTCCATGTCTTATTCTGACAGGACTCAGAGTCGACAGCCATGCTAGCTGCTCTGTGAGTCTGTACTGTATGCTAATGTTAGCATGCTAACAATATGTAGGCTGATTATAGGCAGGTATAATGTTTACCATGTTTATATTGTTAGAATGCAGATGTTTGCTAATCAGCACTAAACACACAATTCTGCAGAGGCAAAACAGATACTGGACAGATTCAATGTGAGTTATTCAGATGTGTCCTCCTTTCGTATTTGTCTGCTTCAAATTGAGATTAGTTTGAGGGAGAACATTGAAAGTCTTTCATTTTAAGCATAAATTATGATTGCAAAACAGCTACAGTCATACTACAGACGGCAGGTAAAAGGACTGTCTTCGTTCTGTAGCACAAACATAATATATTTAGAGTTTATTGGACATTTGTTCACAGAGTATATAAGATAAATTCACAATCTCATTTTAAAACATCCCATTCAACAGCTGCATACGTATCTGAGTGCAGAACTCAAGTATAGTGAGCAGTGAGCTTCATCTCTGAGAATTACAGACGGCAGTAAAGACTGGGAGAGTAAATCATGTCTGTCTAGTATAAATATGATAGCCTATCCTCACATTATACTGTCTATACAAGTGTGTGTGTGTGTGTGTGTGTGTCTGTGGGAGAAAGAGAGAGTGTACAGTTACCAGGGTGAGGACAGTAAAAAGGATCAGCTGTGATTGCCGTGGGGACAGTAGTTAATCCCACAGTCCAGGTGGAGCAGATTTCAGGGTCAATTTCATGCCTGCTGCTCCATGACACTCATTTCTTACCATTCATACCCTTAAATAAATTAAAATGTTATTATGTTTGTAGTTTCTTCACATAAAATGTTTCCACACTTTTATCAACGCACCAAAGTGCCAGGAGACGACCAGCAGCTGTTTCACCTCTTTGTTTCGCGTTGCCTGTTGCAAATGTACTGTAGTGAATAGTTTATACTAGTGAACGCCAGAAAATAACTGTACAGTCTGCAGCAGCTCATACTGCACAAATATCATCTAAAATGCCACCAAACTACTTCTATTAATATGAAAATGTTGTTTTGCGTCAGACAAGCAAAGAAAAGAAATTTGTTCTTCCTTAAATGGAACAGGTCAAGGTGTTTTTATTCATAATTGAATGTCTCATTCCCTCTTGTTTTTCTCGTTTCTTTGGCTTCTATGTTTGAGGGATGGTGGTTATAGCTCCAAAAACATGAATTATCATATACATAAAGGTTCTACTGACTTTTAGGTTTTGTAGGTGTAAGAGGAATGGAGTTGTGTACTTGTAAAATGCTGCCTTTCAGACGGTGTGATCTATATAAGCTTTGCTGTACCTAACTAAAACGATAGACGTTTTCACTCTCTAAATTCATGAATAGGACCCCTGGCAAGAATGATGCTCTGTGCCTCGATTTTGAAAGGTTTGTTTTGGTTTCCACCCAGCTGCAGGAGAATTGCAGTCGGTGCAAATGTGTGCAATTTTCCTGCTTCCTAAAATAACTTTTCGTTGAGAATTTAAAAATGAATAAAGGTCACACCAGCACATCATTTCCATATTTAAACAGAATTGAGAATTGCCAACATATCAAATGTGGAGGGCACTTACAGCAGATGTACAACACACAGTCACCAGCAGTGACAGCTGGTAGTGCAGCAGCCTTTCAGCAGGCTGGTCCTGAGGCTGCGAGCAGCACTAACATCCATAATATACAACTCTGCATATATATACTGTTACACTGCTGTTAAACTAATCTTCGAATACTCTTATTAATGATCATTGATACAACTGTATTAACCACTGACTCAGCGTGTAATTTTCTTGACTGGAAAATGTCACCATATGCCTGAAAACCCAACATATTGAAGTTGCCACATACTGTCCCTCAGTTTTAATAATACATGTCCTGTATTTGGTTTTGTTGGTATAATGTCCTCACTACTGAATAAAGTGTTAAATACTCCCATTCTTACAGTTAAACTTCTCAGAATTTATGTATATATGTTATATCGCATAGCATCTTTTAGTCTCTTTCATCCTCTATTTTCTGTCTCTCAGGGTAAACGGTCCGATTTTCAGCGATCACTCCCAGTCAGGAGACACAACGGAATCAAAGTTCTTTAGGCTCGAAACGTCACAGTTCTCCAATGGCTGCTTCATCGCACGACTGTCCCGACAGGTGAGAGAGAGAGAGCGGGGAACATGTGGAGACTGATGCGAAAAGAGTGAGCGAAGTAGAGGGCAAGGTTGTGTTAGCAGGTTGAGGGGGAACAGAGGGGTGTGTGTGTGCGTGTGTGTGTTGCGACGAGACCTTCTAGAAGTGCTGAGGCTGCATTCTTTTACTGTCTGTCTGCTGGGAGGGAGGTCTGTCGGCTCTGCTTTCTGAGTGTGCACACACACACACACACACACACACACACACACACACACACACACACACACACACACACACACACACACACACACACACACAGCAGCATTATTCCAATACTCCATAAAAAAGAGACAAGTTAGAGATGAAATACAGCCCGGTGGCTGAATCATTTCAGTACTTTACGGCGAAGATGAATGGATAATGCTCTGTATCTTTTTTTCCAGCGCTCTGATCCTGTTGCATCACCTCGTTGCTCCGTCTATTTGCCCCCCTCCCCTCTTTCCTCCCCCTTGCTCCACTCATAAAAAGTACATACACAAGGAAATGAGATGCTGCTCCCTTGATCCCCTGCAGCTTGAAAAAGTGGTGCAGGGAGGGGACCGTGCAAGTATGTGTGCGTGTTTTATTTTCCCAATAAAACACACATGGTCAGGTCTTGTGCACCTGCCCAGTGAAAAGTCAGGCATTTTAAATCTAATGATCATCTTGTCTAATTAAATCGACAGCCCAGCTGCATCGGCAGATTTAGTTACACTGACAATTCAGAGGTGTTTCTCTGCTGCTCAGATAATGAATCGCTCCTGTCAAACTGTGCTGTGATTTAGATCTGAAATACACAACATGTCGTCATACTTTGACACAGATAGAGAGAAGCGGTAAGGCAACAATAACTCTCCTTAAAATCATACTTGTGTCCAAATTTGCTGCAAAACACGAAAAATCTGACTTGTCTGTAAAACACACATCTGACAGGCTGCTATTATTCATGCTTCTCTCGTTTAAACGTTAGGCATTTCAGTTTTATTACAAACTCTCATTTTGCAGCATAAAGAACGTTTTGAGGCTTATAAATGATGAGCATAAAATGCTGTCAAAGCAAAAAAAGAGAATAAAATTGGTAAATTAGATTTAACACTTGAGGGAATACAATATTCTGCATTATTTTTCAGACAGGCAGAGATGGATGGACGGGGAAGAGATTAAGACAGATTTATACTCTGTTACAGATGAAGACAGTGTTTTGTTTTTTATAAGATTTTTGTTGTGCAACCAGTGCCTTTATTGGAGTGACAGCTATGAAAGGGGGAGACAGAGGGGGTTGACTTGAGGCTTCGGGACCAAGCCCAGAAGACAGTATTTTACCAGTGCACATTTAAAGTATCGAAACATTGAGCAAAATGTGTGCATTTTGTTGTTAAAGGACCTGCTGGTTAAAGCTGCCCAGCAAGTTGTGTCCAGCTTCAGTTTGTGTGTCTGTTAGCAGGATTACAGAATAACTGTTGATTTGATTTTCATGAAACTTGGTGGACCGCTGTGGCATGGACCAAGCAAGAACCCATTCCTCAGGGGGCGAATACACATAGTTTCTCTTTTCGTTAACATTGCGAGATTTTCTGCATTTCTGATGTAATCCAAAATCAAATGGAAAATGGCATTGTTGTTTTTTTAAGGAATCTGGTCTAGATTGAAACATAAGATACAACATGACCGCAGAACAATGATTATCAGCCACAGTAAACAGTATGTGTTCAAACCATAGACTGTATAAAGGTTCAAACACATTAGCCGCATGACTATGTGAAAATGTCAGTGGATCCATCCAATGGGAATGACTTAATTGTGTTAACATCTATTTAATGGATTTATTTGACCCCATAAGAATAAGGACTACTGATGTGGGGGATCCCCTGACTGTTTCTGTAGCGCCATGTCAGATCAAAGGATTAATTTCTCCAATACATTATGACTAAATATGTTCAAAGTAAATTACATTCCCATCAGCCTTAGCTTTACTTTTATACTTAGTGCTTATTAGCAAATGTTAGCATGCTTAACTCAAATGTTAAGAAATATACCCTCTGAACATCAGCATGTTAGCTTGCTGACAATGTGGTTAGCATTTGGCTCAAAGTCACAGGCAGAGGGGGAGAAAAGATAAGTGGCTGCTCTCTCAGGATATAAATCCTGCTATCTCTCCTCCTCCTCCTCCGGTTAACATTTTACGGCCGTGGCTCATTAGTCATTTCAGCGTCGTGTTTTGTGGTATATATCTCCTTGGTGCCACCCTAGAGACCTGTTGTTTTAATGTGTTGTGTCTTCACATCAAATCTTAAGCTGCCCTTGTTTTTTCAGGCGGATCCCACTAAGGTAGAAACAGTCCACGATGTGCTGGCAAGGGCAGCGGCTAAAGGCCTCCTGGGTGGAATCATTCCTGAACTATCAAAGACTAATAAAAAGGGGAAAAGCAAGAAGAATCGAGCCGCGTCAGCCAGCAGCAAACCTTCCTCCCCCTCGGGCCGAGAGGGTCAGCTGGGGGAGGGAGAAAAGCCTGTCGCACCTTCACAACATGAAGAGAAGAAAGGTGAGGATGTAGAGGAGGAAAAAGGAGAAGACGAGGGAGGAAAGAGGAAGAAAGTGCTTAAAGGCAGTAAGCGTAAAGTCAAAGGGCGAACAAAACAAACCAACAGGACTACGGCCCCAAAGCACCAGCCTAACAGCAACAAGAAGAAATCAGATAAGGTCAAAGTCAGCCAATCACATCAAAAGAGGCGCCCTACGAAGACTAAACGGAGAAGAATACCTCGTCTCACCCTGACGTTAATATCCTCTGCTAAACCCTCCAGACACTTGTCTCCAATCACAGCCCTCGCACACAAGCTGAGTAATTATGCAACGATCCAATCACAGCAGAATGTCTTCAGCCCCCCCCCTTCTGCTCCACCTGCAGCCTCCAAGCAGGTGCAGAGACTCAACCCTGAGCCTGAAGGAGCAGAGAAAACACTGAAGCATACAGTGAGAGCAGAAAGACCGTTTAAGGTCAGAGGAAATGTCAGACCTAAGGAAGAGGAGGCGACAGAGGAAGTGTTGACGCATACAGATTTTGTCCTGCCACCCATTTGCTCTGCTTCCTGCAGCTCTGTTAGCAGGAGTGGTAATTCCCTCAGTCAGCGTCCCACCAGGACCCCCCACTCTCAGCGCGCCCACATATGTGCATCCTCTTCCTCCATCTATCTGCCTGGATTATAGAAGAGAGATCATGAACACTGATGTTGTGGTTAATAACAATAATGGCATGTTCTGACACTACAGTCAATCATAATGGACTCAAGTTAATTATTTGAAATGATTTAAAACCAAGAAAAATATGATTGTATTGTTAGTTAACTATGAACAATAAATATGTATGAAAAATATGTTTTAAAGAAGTTTTACTCATATTGACATCTCTATTGGTATTTCTTAAAACTACACAAATGTACATACTGCTGCTGAAGTGATCATTCAAGATATAACAAAAAAACATTGAATTGTATAATTATAAAGGTATAGTAGTTAAAATGACGTCATTAAAATACCAATGTTCAGTTTATGTGTATCAATTAGGGCTGCTCGATTATGGCAAAAATCATAATCTCGATTATTTGGGTCAATAATTGATATCACGATTATTAAAAACGATTATCTATTTACTTTGAAAACATCAATTTATTGGAGAAAAAAAATGTGAACAGTATGTTTTTAACAGTTGATTACCCTGAACTTTAAGAATAATTCAACTGAAAAACCAATTAAAAAAATGTTTTATTTGAAAAAAAAAATGTTAAAAAAATTATCGTTTTATTTCTATTACGTTGTTTTCGTAATGGTTGCAAGCCATCATCGTAATTGCGATTAAAATACAATTGAGCAGCCCTAGTATCAATGTTAATTTAACCCCATTCATATTTTCTAACATCTAGTGACTTTATAAAATGTAAGGGGTGGGAAGTACGAGAAGAAAATAGATTTGTCCAAATAATAATCAAAAAGGAAGCCACTAGTTCTGTTTTATAATGCTGTTTATTCTCACAATTGATTACATCGATAAAGTGTACAAATCAGTGAGCAGCAAAGGAAGCAACACATCCATCTGAGGGAAAGGTGTGTGTGTGCGTGTTGTTCATGTGTGTGAGCCTGACAGAGACACTGGGAGTGCACACGTTACTACCATCACCACTCCCAGCTCTCAGTGCGCTGTACAAGGTGAAGATGTATTTATTTTTCTGCGAAGCTTGCTTGTTGCATTGTGATTTAACCAGGGACTGAGACAATGACACCGAGTCAAGAGACTTTACTCGCCCCAACTAATAACATCAGTATATACCTTTATAAAATAGAATAAATAAAATAAAAAATATTTCTGTTCAGTACATACAGTCGTTCTTTCAACCGTCCAAGGGCATGCAAGGCTTTTCACAACTTTCCATTTCTCGAGAAGATCAAAAGAATGCATAGATAATTGCTCAGTTAAACTCAGTATCAACGTAATTGACAACTGTGAAAATGTCCAATCGCCTCTCCTCGTTTCATTATTAGCTCTCGTAATTTTCTTATCTACAACAATGTATATCAGTATTTTACACTTTGGCCATTTGGTGAGCTCTCAAAAAAAGGCATTTCATTAAAAGAAAACTACAGATATTTAAAAGAAAAAAAAGATAGCTTATCACAATGATTAATGCCGAATGTTACATTAAACTGATATTATGTACACGCTCATTTTGTCATCTCATTCACATTTCAACATCCTTGTGACAAAATAAAGTTGAAGTGGCTGTGTTTTCTCCTCACAATCTCAAGTACACTCCTGCTTCCTTCAACACATGTAGGTTAAACGTGGAGTTTTAAAACCTGTGGCAAGAAAAGGAGACGACAAGACACTTTACAGATGTCCCCTTTAGATACTGTTGCCACCTGTCAAGATTCACTTCCTCACATGATGCCGTTTACAAAAAAAGGAGGGGTTTGGCAGATGGTCAATTATAGAAGTTCAGTAATAAGATGTGTCCACAGTTTCTTTCTCTTACAAAAACCATCAGTGGGGCACTGGGAAACTTCATCCTACCTCAAAAAATGACAACCACCATAGGTGTTGTTTCTATGACAGCATTATCTTGACAACACAGATTTTTAACGAGTGGTGTTTTTGTACATTTTCCCTCATCATAGGAATCAATTGGAATAAGGATGGCACTCACTGCTTAAATACTCTAATCTACAGCTTAATGTGTTTTTTATTTGCAATAAACGTCCACACTTATTACCTTACATCCAAGCTAATCAGATACGTGCTAATAAGGAGCTAGCAGTGTTGAATTGAGATTTGTGTGGGAAAAATGTCAGAATACAAACCAAAAGCAAGTGATCTTGAGAAAACAGAGCAGGCGCATTCAAGTGAGCGTAACCCTGGAGACAGACAGATGGCAGCCCAGGAGATCCTGTTAGTCAGAGTCCACATGTCTCTCGGTTGACTTTCCTCTCCAAAAACAGCTGGAGATGAAACCCGCCTCTCAGCTGGCACCAGACCCAGGTACAAAACTCATTCCTCATCTTTTTAGGATTAAGCCTTTCTTGTGTTGCCAACCCCCTTTTTTATTTTGTATTAGTGGACATGAAGTCTCTGAGGAATGGAACTGAGATGGGATTTAGAGAAATATTCTGTCAAATTTCCTCCAGCATGTGTTCCTATGAGCAGCAGCATGCCGATACTTCCTGTGTTTGGAGCAGCAGAGAGTAACACTTAGCCCGACCCTGTCTCTTCCTTCATTATGGCTGTCGTCTGTTGCTTTCCAAGGGATAACGAAATAATAAAAACAGGTAAACAGGAAGTATGCGAAGGATGTTTCGGGTGAAAGGCCACCGCTCGTTTTAGACCCTCCAGGCCGATTCTTGCACATCTTGTCTATAAGGAACAAAGGAAGAAGACAGGAAGTGGCTTCGGATGCGATCACCCCTTCTGTAAGCAGCAGCAGTGTATTGATATTGTTTCTATTAAAAGTTCATGCAGGTTAGTTGAACAGGTATGAGTGTGTAGACTGACATTTCTCTTTAGTCTGTACTTGCTTCTTTCATTTGACTACAGACGCGATGGCTTTCAGGATTCTCTTTCCATTTCAGTCTACTGAGGACAACGAGGAAGAGGGACAGAGGGGGACACGCCACTACAGATTAACAGGACAACCAGGTGCATGATGGGAGGGGGGTCATGCTGGCTGCACAGACACGGATACAGTTAGATCATGGAGAGGTCAGCAGTTTGCAGCATCACACGTGCTGGAAGGAGCTCTTTCTACTTCTTCAGTTTTTGTTTCTCCTCGCTCCTCTGTGGGGGGGGATGAGAGTTACTCCTATGTACACAATCACCACCAAAGATCTCCACTCGGGTGTTTCTCTGTGGTTTGTTTCTTCTCCATAAGTCTTTGTTCATCTTCTTTTTTACGAGCAAACAGATTTGAATTTCCTCACAAGAGCTTGAAAAACTCTTGAGGTGAAATTCCTGTTTCAGTCTGAAGAAGTGACGGGGCTTCCCCAAACCCTTGGGTTTACTGGGTTTCCATGGTTACAGGAGTCTGTGGTGGCGACAGGTATTTGGCAGCAATGCGACTAGTTACCATGGTGACTTGGGGTTGTGGTAGGGAGTCGGTAGCGCTTAACAGTTTGTTACTGCGGCAACTCTGTGACGGGTCTCTTTTGTTTGAGGGTGTCGATGAGAGACAGCATGCCTCTTTTCACGCTGGTCGAGACCCGGCGGGACACAGAGTCTCCGGGGGGCGACGAGCTGCATGCCCTCTGGGAGGGGGGGCGAGCCACCAAACACTTCTGATACCGCAGCTGAGGGAGAGAGAGAGGAGAGAGAGACGTTGTAAATAAGAGAGAGTTACAGCTGCTGAGTATACGGCTGTGAAGGTGAGAGAGCAGGGACCGCCGGCCGCTAGCTGTGATCAATAGTAATGACTGATGAGTCTTGTCAACGTGAATCAGTTTTAGTGTGTGTGAGTGAGTGAGTGAGTGAGTGAGTGTGTGAGTGTGAGTGTGAGTGTGAGTGTGTGTGTGTGTGCGCGTGTGTGTGTGTGTGTGTGTGTGTGTGTGTGTGAGAGAGAGTGTGAGAGTGTGTCCATATTTCCAGAGTTGATGTGTGATCAATAGCCCGGCCAGCAGTCGACTAACCTTGTGACTCAGCCGCAGCAGAGAGGCAGGGAGAGGAGTTATCTCCACTAATGGGCTGCACTTGGGCAGAATCACCACCCAGGGCATTCTACGTTGCAATCACTGACATTATAATGATACAATAAAAACATTTTGAGAGGTATTATGAGTATATTACACTGGTAATGAATTAAATGAACTAATTCATTTTTTAAATGTTTTCTTGTAAAGCAGGAAACAATGTGTAATATATTTTAAAACAACTTGAAAAAACTGAAAACCTGAACTTGCAAGGGCATGCTCCTTCCAACTGATGCTGAACACACACTTATTTACCTTAAGATGGCTTCTTTTGATTTAAATGCATTTTTATAACACAGGGCCCCATTACAACCTGAATGAACCATATAGGTTGGACAGTAAAAATGACATCTGTAGAAACACAGCTTAAACTGAGCTACAGGCAAAGACATTCACTCTTTAAATGTCTTTGACTCTCTGTACTTATTGTAACTGTTGATCTTAGTTTATATAGCATTCGCAACATAAAGCATTTTGCATTTGATCAATTAGGAGTGTAAACCTTCTTATAAGGTGAGCTGTTGTTAATACGATGTTATGCATGTAGTATAAGGTAAGGCCAAAGTGACAGACATTCATAGTAATGTTAAAAATATGCACAATCTACATTTCCTACAATCTAACTTTGCACAATTAAAAACACATTTACTCCTTAACTAAAGCGAGAGTTAGCTTAATGTATAAAAGACGTTTTGTCAGCTCTGTGTTTTCTCGCTCAGTGACTCACCATACAAGCGGCCTGTACGGCCTCTGACACGTGTCCAGCGTTGGGTTCACACCAGAAGACGTGACAGTCGAAACGATGGCTGCCAGCGTCCATGATGAAGGCAAACGTGTGCACGTTTCGCCCAACGCCCATGAAAGAGAGGAAACGAACACGACACTCTACCAGCACTTCTCCTTCGTCCTGGTCGAAAACAAGTGTTGGATTAATGGATATCATAGACATTACAAACATATCTATAATGTACTCAGTTCTGCCTGTCTGATGCTTTCAACATACTGCTATAATACAACAAATTGCTTGTTGGATTGAAACATAAAAGTAATTAAATCACAGTCTGTATTTGAGGCCCTTCTTTTGTCAAATCTATTTGGCACATTGTATTTAAAGCAGTTTGGCTACAGCAGATGTG